AACTGGTTGGGACACATACTCAGGAGAGAGGGTGCGAACGACTGCTTCACAGCATTGGGATGGACACCAGGAGGTCGAAGAGCGAAAGGGAGGCCAAAGACAACTTGCAGAAGGACGGTGGAGACGGAAAGAAACAAGGCGGGGTGGAAGAGCTGGGAAGTAGCCAAAGCGGTGGCACGGAACAGGGAGTGTTGGTCGGAAAGCGTGACGGCCTTATGCGCCTACTGGCGCGACGAGAAATGATGATGATGATGATTTCATGGTTAACTTTTCTCATTTGCATTACAATATAATCTAGCATGTAGATCCAACCCGAAATAGACCTTTTCGACTGGGCGGTTTGCTGCCCCATTTCAGACCATGTGATGATTCTATTGAGAATTCCTCCTTTCAAATTTTCTGTAATGGGACAACAAACCGCCCAGGCGAAAAAGGTCTATTGTCTTGCACCACGTTGGATTACTTGTGATCCAAATGAGAAAAACTAACCATGAAAAAGGCTGTTGCTTGTTCAAATTAAAGATCAGCGTGCGTATGTCGAGGGAAGCGTGAGAATTGCTTCTTTAGTGATCTGCAAATTCAGCCAAAGCTAGCCTGCGTTGCAGGCGTAAACGGGGAAGGGGTAAAACAACTTGAGCGCTAAAACATGTTTTATTCGACTACAAAGTTCTCACAATGTACAGTGAAGAAAAGAGGGATCCTATTGGCTGGTTAAAAACACGCCACAATCAGTTGAACGACGGTTGAGCGGGAACGTCTCATTTGGTTTCTAAAATTGTCAATAAAAAAATTCACTTCCTCGAATATATGAAAATGCAGGCAAACAAAGTCAAAATACTCATCAAGTTTTAGTAAGCATCTTAGCTTTGTAAAAGTCAAAATCACATTGCAAAACTTTAACAAAAGGAACCTCGCATGCAGCTGAACTCGACGGAATATTTGCAGCTAACCACGATGGCTTGAAAAGAATTAGTTAGAACCAGCGCTTGCACTATGTTATAACTAGTAATAATTATCCCTTTAAGCTGCCCCCGCTTTCTTTTATTTCTATTGATTGAAAGCAATTGAACATTATTGTATGAACTAAAACTTCTATATCTTTTTTTTGTAAACTTTATCACTCATAATGTTGCTATAGCTTAGGCATCTTATCACGGTTATCCAAACATGCCACTAAGTAAACTAAACCAACACTTTCTATTTAACTCATTACATTCCAGACAGCCGTGAGTTTTCGTTTGAAGGGACACAAAGAGTACTTTCTGAAAAAAAAAGGTTTCCTTCTTGGGAACTAATATATCTGTTACAAAAATATCACTCAGTAGAACTTAAGAAGAAAAGGTTAACGGTTATAGAGAAACAAAATACTACGTCACACCACTCTGCTGTTTGAATCTGATGACGAAACAAACCATTTTTTGTTGTTATAAGAGCAAACGTACCTCGAAAGCAGAACAGCAGTTGAGAAAATCATCTGGAACTTCTGTCACGAAGTTTTTTCTGAGACGGGTAGGAAGAGGAAGCACCCGGCAAAGAAAAGACTTTTCTCTGCAATTCCCCCCTTCCCCTACCCTCTTGCTAAGAAAGGCCTGATACTCAGGTTATTAACCGAAGTATCGCGTTACTGTCACCTCTAATCTATAAATGCAAATTAGAGTCAAGTTCTTTGTCCTCAACGAA